GACGAAAGGAGGAGGAGGAGGAGAAGAGTTAACGCAGCAAAGGTCATGCTGGAAGCGAAGGGGGGGGCGGGGTGCGTCGAGTGACGACTGCGTCGACAGAGCCGAAGTTGGGCAAGAATCGACCGAGACGGCTCGGACATGCGGACAGAAAGGGGGGCGGTGGGGGGGGGGGGGCGGACGATGGTGAAAAGAAAGTTCAAACCGAGAGCCGAGGGGAAAGAGAAAGAAGAGGGGCGGGGGGGGGGACTGAGGAGGAGGAGGCGGCAGGAAGTTGATGTTAACGACGACGACGAGGAGGAGGAGGAGGGAGCACTGTGGGGTTACGGAGTGGATCGAATGCGACGACTCCTCTCGCTTCACGCGTGGCGCTGTTCACGCTGTGACGCGTTCCCGCTACGACGCGGTTCCTTCATTCGCGGAACTCGTTTTCCTTCGGCACTGCCTACTTTGCGTGTTTAGTTTCTTGTCCTTTGCCCGCACCTACGATGAGCACGGTTGCGCTGCGTGCGGTGCGAACGAAGTTCAACGTGCACACAGAACTGTACGGCACGCAGCACTCGACCGAGATTTAAAAAAAACCGGGCAAGTTTATTCTCTTTTTCTTTATGCCGCTTCATGATAAAATTAGAGCATGCCGAGTAATCAGATGGCGCTCCGGTTAGCCGACATACAAGGCGATGGGAGCAGCTCTTGGTAACATTGCGTGCACTGTACGCCGACAGATGAATAAATTCCGGGTGGATTATTTTGAGAGCGGAAAATCAAATCCGCGCCAATTTTTAATGAAACGGAGGACCCACGGAGGACGTCCTCCATCGCACCATTTCCCACGTTTCAAACGACCGATCGTCGAATTCCAAATCGGCCTCTTTCACCATCTCATCTCTGCGTTACGGCAATCGAAGCCTATCGTCGGTTCTGGAGAAGACAGCAGTTGACAATGTCCGTGCTGCTGTACATCACGTGGCATCCTTGTGGCACTAAGGCCTCGTCTCCCCCTACACCGCTATCCATTCTGATTTGACACCTGTGACAAAGAGACAAAGATCCCCCGTGTGTAAACCTAACAGACTGTTGGGGCAAGTGCTGTTAGCGAACACCTATGAAGGCCAACACGGAACACGAGGGGATGGGTGGCCACCACCACGCCTGGCTGCCGTTATCTCCAAAGTGGCGATGTTTACACACCACTAGTATGGGTTTTTTTTAATTGTTTTTGGCTTAGATATAAATGTGTCGTTTAACCCGCCACCACCCGGACAGCCAATGAGTAAGGTTTGTCACGTAAACAGAACGTGGCCAATTCGTCACTAGTACAGCACACCGGTGTATTGGAGAGCAAATCCACGACATTTACAATCTGATCTTGATTTGAAGCTTTCGTGACTGCAGGAATCCATACTCTTTGGTTCTTTCGGTAAAGTCACGTAGGTAGAAGATAAAATAAATCACGACTGAGGCAGAAGTCTGCCTCAGCAGCAGACCATGCTTTCCCACCTGATGACGGACGCTAGTGTTGTGCGCCCGAAACGTCGTGATTTATTTTATTTTATACCTACGTCACTTTACCAAACGAACCAAAGAGTATTTACAATCTGAGTTCGGCGTTTCGCCAGTAATTACAACTAGCTTCATCAGGCGACAGACGGTGGCGGGTTTAACGACACATTTATATTTTCGCGATCTAACCCAACAAAAGAACCCGCCTACATTATGGATGATATTGGTCGAGAAAGCCGACGTGTTTACACACCACATCAGGTACTCATTTGGGACTGAGTCGACCGAGGGGAGGCCAAGGTCCGATTTAAATAATTATCGTCACCGGTGTTGTCCGCGAGCAGGAATCAAACGTTGCGTTAACCGCGACACCACCCGCTTCCCACAGACACACAAATTGGCCTTGCACATGTCACTTCGCAAACATTGCCCTAAAGTTTTCCACGTCGCAGGAAATTACGGCACCGAAAAAAAACGCCGCTTCCTTTATAGCGTCCAAAAAAGCGGCGTCGCACCAAGACGCGGCACAGCCTTAAAAAATGTAAATTGTCGAAAAATATGTACAAAAAATTGTGCCGGAAAATGCAATATTTGAAACGTTTTCATATAAAACTCATCCATATTATAATGGCGCGCACACGGTTTCATTTTAATACGAAATATTGAACTACATTTTCTTTTTTTATTAAATAGGCTAAAGTAAAGCATGCACGGCAAAATAAGTTAGCAACTTCGCATCGTGAAAATCCATATTAATCGTGACAAGAAAAATGGTGGGAATGCACCAAAACCACATCAGAACATCCAACAGGCCAGTGCTTACCACCTCTCCATCGCTGGAAAATTAAAAACACGAGCCACAGTAGTGGTGCGACTGTGGCCACGCAACCCACACTACGGATCATATAGTAAACCACTGTGGGGTCTGCACTTCTTCATTGCAAGATGAACAGCAACATTTCACGGACTCGACATTGGCGTCGAGCTCCTGAACCACGTCGCTGCCATCATGTCCAAGAGGATTACAGACTGGGAAGAGGTTTGATAACCAGCCGTGCAAGCTGAAACTTTTTATTTTATTTTACCAGGAAAAAAACCACTGAGCTATGTAGCTCTTTTTTCTTAGAAGCCACCTGGCCACAAATGACAGCTCAACTACGTGGATTATCACGTGGATATTTATAGGAGCCAAATACTCCAAAGGCATGTTTCTAAATGTGGAGGGAAAACCTGGAGGACCCGGAGAAATATACACGCAGCCATGGGGAGAACAATCAAACTCCAAATATACAGGTATCAACAGTTGGGATCTAATCCACGACTCTCCTGTAGACCAGCCAATGGAGTAGACGTCGTCACCAGTTAATCAGTGCCTGCTGCGTTTCAACACAGCTCTTTACGCGTGCACAAGCAAATATTCAGCGACACAGAGCGACTAGGCAGCCAGACCTCCGGCCAGGTACCCCCCCCCCCCCCCCCCCCCCCCCCCCCCCGTGCTCCCTTGTAAAATGTATTTGCCAACATTACACAAAGTTAGATAAGGAAATGTGGGTTCTTTATTCTGCACGGATCTATATGTGCGTAAGCAATCACACTTGAGCAATGAATCAATGTTTTACAGCTGCAGGATACGGCCCTGTTGAAATACTCCCCACTTTAACAACGGAAACTTGGCAACCCATTCAAGAAGACGATTGTAAAAGTTTGATCATGCAAAGGAGGTAAAATTTATACCATGAATAAAATACGGCCAATTCTCGATCCACCAACGGATGAAGACTGACCACACTTTGCCAGGCTAGTCAGTGCAGGTTGGTGGAGGAAGAGGGAGGAGGACGGTTTCTGATATCACTTGCCCTAAAGATGAGCCATGTCCAGGTATCGAACGCAGGTTGCCGGAATCGTAGTGCAGTGCACCACTGCTCCACTTTCAATTTCGCCCTCCCCTGCTCACTAGGGTTGAACGATGAATCGATTTCAAATCGAAATTGCAATTTGAAATAATCGATTAGCAAATCGCAAAGGCTGCGATTTTTTGCGATTGGAAAGTCCTATTACTTATCGGGATTGTTTTATTATATTATTATTACTTAATTTATTTAATTGACTAACTTTTATATGTTTGATTGTTCTATTTCAATTAAAACATTTTAATAAATACATGTTGGAAGCAATTAATATATTTTAAGTTCTCATCCTTGCATTAGAATATATAGAGCAGTTCATATTTTGATGTCATCACGTGGTAATGCTCCATGACATGTTTTAAATCTATTACACAGTGAATATTGAACTGAAGCTTGACTTTAAAAAAATGTAATCGCAAATCAAATTGCAATTGCAATATCTGTCAGAAAAATCGCAATTAGATATTTCCCCCCAAAATCGTTCACCCCTACTGCCCACCCCTGATTTCCATAAACCATATTTTTTAAATTACGGGAACCCAAATTAATCTATAACCAATAACATTTAAAATCCAAAGAAAATACTTTAAATTATTCTCAGGCTGGCCACAACTCGTTTCGACATAACGCGATTAATAGCAGCAACAAAAAGATGAAGGCAAAGACTCTCAGCGTGTGGCCACATGCACACTGCTGAGTGCAGCTGCACTGGTCCTGCCAATCTGCACCCAAATCCTAGCCTCGCAGAGTTTAATGGGATGCTATAGAAGGAATGCTACATCACTCGAGATTCTTAATTTGAACACTCACCCGCTGGCCCCGTGTGGATTGCGGGCGTATCCACCGCAGCTTTCTCTAAACCTCGTATGCAACGTGCACGTTACAGCCCTCTCGTGAAATCCACTGCTGGATGAGGGCCTCCCCCCACTCTGTGCGGGCCGGGGCCATGAGGGGGGGGGGGGGTGGGGGGGTTGGCCAACCGGCCTTCTCTGCTCAGTGCGGGTCGGTCAAAATGGTGAGCGCAGACGTCAGAGCGTGGCACAGTACAACTAAAACACAACGTGATGCAGTGCCCTCCACGCAACGCTGCCGAGCATCCTGGCGACTCTCCAGGCACGAGCCTGCTTAGCTGCCGAGATCCGACGAGATGGTGGTGGGGGGGGGGGCGCATTCCGGGTGACTTTGGTCGTAGGCTTCCGACATGCACGCAACGCGCAAGGAAGCGAGAGTGGTCCGACGGGCGAATACAATTTTCGTTTCAAATATTCATTTGCCCCAGTTTTTTTTTTTTGTCCGCGTTAGGCTCGTCAACAACGTGGCACGCAATTCCACGCACGATCCTAAAAAGCACAGCTGTCAACCGATATGGTTTACTCGTATTCTTGTACAGGGGAACTGAGTTTTCAGGTCCTTACGGCGTACAGCCGTAAGGACCTGAAATAATAATGTAGGGCACTGATAAGGGGCCGATGGGCATGTGAAAGGGACGGCCGTAATTTGCAAGACGACGCGACGGCAAGCGGGTTTTCGCTTGCCGTCGGAAGTCGCGGTTTTTTTATATTTTTTTTGAGACGCGATTCGGGTGCCACTCACCGTCATGAACACCGAGGCCAGCAGCAGAATGACGGAGTAGACGAGACCCCGGCTGTTGATGGCCACCTGACGATGGAAACAAAAGGGGGAGGTGACAAAAAAAAACCACATCACTGCCGCCATGAAAGAGATTTAACGTGGAATAACGAACAGCCGACATGAAACGCAACGATTATCCAAATTGTACGTGGAAGATCAGACCGAGATGAAAGATAACGCTATGGCCGACCGTTAAATGTAAAATATATATAAATATAACGGTATGGCATTCCATAAAACATAATTATTTTTTTTTAACCAAATAAGTAGTTTTGTGTGCAGTGAATGTTGCCTTTTTTCAGGATGGATTATTCCGTGAGTAGACTCGGGCTGCATTTTTACAAACAGATGCAGTGGCAAAGCGGTATATTTCATATTTAAATTGGAAACATTGTGAAGACATCCATGGCTTTCACAAACACAAATATTTATTCGTATCTTGAAGATTATCTGGGTCAATAAAAACACTTTTGCCGACGGCATGGGGTGTGTGCTGCATTCATAGTGGGGCCTTACGTTTGGTCTGTGAGCAAAGCTTTTATTCATATATATAAAATTTTAAATGTGGGAAAAAAATATATTTGGTCATCCATTTTACTATTTGTTTTCGTCGCCAAATTCAACAGGGACTGTAAAAATGGAGATATTGAGGGTGAAAATCACGTGTGTTTTTTTATTTACCACATCTGTCACTGTTAACACTGCCGGATAGCAGTGAAAGATATATTAGACCAATATTGCAACGGCAACGGGCCCTCTCGTTAAGCAGAAGTTTTCACGGCTGTACCGTGCACCCTCCTCCCCAAATTAATTTTCACCTTCTACCGCGTGTCGTTGGGAACGGTGTTCGACCCATTGAGAGTACCCAACACTTTAACCCGGCAGGCACGGCCTTCCGACCATAGCCCGTTCGTGCTGCTTGGGCGGACAGAGGCGGTGGAGAGGGGCGGGGCGGGGGGGGGCGGCGGGATTTAAGGAAACTTGCACCGTTGTTTCAAACTCCGCGGCGGGAGGTGGAATCGAGCGGGCGACCTGCGTATTTACGAGTCCGGGTGGGCGCTGACCGTTCTACCGCGACGGCGGCGATTCCGCTAATTCCACCGTGCGACAATCGGAACTCAACCCCCGCGCTCCGCAGCACGCGGTGCCCGCGACGGTGCGCGCTTCGGGCTTCCGCAGTTAACGCGCGCGCATTAACTGGCTGCCAGCTGGCATCCGTGCGGTGTTTGTAGGCGGTTTGGGGCTGGCGAACACGGCCCGGTGGGGGAGCGCGTTCGCCGCTTTGTTTTCGGAGGTTGCTGGTTCGGATTTGCCGGGCCGCCCTGGTTGGGCTCACCGTAAAAAAAAAATATAGACTACGTGACGTCTGCTTTACAGTGGGAGTTAATCATCCCGTGACGTCGTTCGCAAGTGCAGGCCGCTGCGTGCCGACATCATGGTTAAAATTTGCCGAATCTGGGAGAAAATAAAATACCATGAAATGTACTCATTTGAAATATATACGTAGCAATCGTCACCAACTACTACAGGGGCCCTCCTGAAAAAAAGTTACGAGCCTTGGAGAGATACCTTACCGGGTTAACAAGTATAATGTAATACATAAAAACATATATAAAATGTTATGGCGGATTGGCGCACAGGCCAAGCAGCTCACGATGAACACACCCGCGACGATGACTCACGCACCGGCTAAGCCTCACCACACCGCCCACCACCACCTCCCTCACCCATCACCTCCGCTTCTCTCCAAAGACATTTCATTTAATGCAACCCTTGCCTGTACCCCCCCCCCCCCCCCGGTTTTAGCCCCGCCGCCATTATTTATGCAGGAATTGTGGCATCCTCGCTCCGTAATTGGGCGAGGGGAGGAGGGCCACAGATCCTCAGCAGTGCATTTCCATTTCCCCTGCCAAGCCGCTGGCTTAAAGTGACTTGTTCTTGTAGTCAACACAGAGCTAATCTCACGCCTCTTTGAAGACACGTGGGCGTCAAAAACGTGAGGGCAGTGCACAGGTTAGCACGCGCTGCGCGCACAGGCGCGCGCATGTACAGGCGCGCGTGCATAGGCGCGCATGTACACGCGCGCGCGCGCATCCTGCCAGGTGGCTCAGCGCAAGAGTAAGCGGCTCGCAATCGGGAGGTTGCAAGTTCTAATCCCCGCTGGTTGGACGTTGACTTCTCATCCTTGGGTAAGAAGTCAACGGTGAATATCCTAGAGGTAGCCTCGCCCCTGCCAAAGGAATGTGGAATTCCCACCACCGGATTGCGGCTGGAAATGGGAGATGGGCACCGCCTTAAAAACGGTCCTTATAGCAGGAAATAATTTTGAAGCTATTTGTTGGAGAGCAGTAGCTGGATATAAGCACACAAAGGTCATCACCAAATAAACAAATAAAATAAGCAAATTATTTGGTGATGCTGCTGCGTTGACAGTGGTGCACAGGCATTATTAACAAAAAAACACGCCACATTCATCAAATAATTCACATGCTATGAAAAAGGGCCATTGCCCTTAAAGTCGCCTATTATATACTTTTCCTTTTAAGGCCACACAGTGTTATTGACGAATGTGTTGTTGTGATAATTATTTGAGAACTGTGCTTCGAGGGTACCCGGAGGATTCTAAATCTGCGGGCGCGTGCATTTTCTAGCCGTCGACGTTTTCAAACTCTTCCTTTGCTCGTGAAGTGTCCCGACAAGGATGGTGGCTAATGGGATTGGACGGGGCGGACCGTGGCGTGCCACTGCTCACCGACGGCAGGGGTGAAATGCGCGGAATCGTCTTTGCCAGAAATCGCGTAAAGCTTAAGTAGCCTCCTTGGATTTCACGTGCTCAGTGCGGGATTTTTATAGAAACATTATTGACGTTCTGGGGCCAAGGGGCTCCTTAAAGGGGCCGGGTGGAACTTTACATCGTGCGGCGCCTATCGACCCCACATTGCTGATCGTGGATAAAGCTTTCATCTTCCCCCGGCGCGCACAACTCGTGCACAAAACTCGTGCACACAACACGTGGGCGCAACACACGTGCACAATACGTGCGCACAACACACGCGCACGACACACGAACACACAAAACACATGCACACGATACGTGCGCACAACACGCGCACGCACGACACACGAACACACAAAACACATGCACACGATACGTGCACACAACACGCGCACGCACGACACACGAACACACAAAACACGCGCGCGACACGCGGGCGCGTGCGATCAGCGGGTTCAGCACAATTCCTCCAGAATCTCAGAATTCAACGGACATGGGGCTTGGGCTCAAAGCCTCGTAGCATCTCGAACGAACGTTTGGACGTCTCGGGATTCGGTGGCCAGTGGGAAACGTGGCTGGGCGAGCGGCAGTTCCTGGAGTTGGGGCCTGGACCACCAAACGTCCCCGTGGCCCACCCAGGCCCACACCCTCCTCAGAGTGAACACCTGGGTGGAGAGGACCTGCAGCCGTGCCTGGTGTTGAACAGCTGTTTTAGCTGAGAATGATAAACTGAACTACGAATTATTTCTTTTTTATTTTATTTTACCAAGTAAGGCCAACTGAGCTATGGCAGCTCTTTTTCAGAAGCGACCTGGCCACAAGTGAAAGCTCAACGAAGTGGGTTATCATGTGGAAATTTATAGCGGCCAAACACTCTAAACGCGTGTTTATAAATGTGGAGGGAAAAAAAACAGACGAACCAGGAGAAATTATATTTAACGTCTGTGGGTTACATCGCACGTGACCCAGATTTAACGCCGAGCTGTCTGCTCTGCTGATAATTATAGTTTTCGGTACATGTTGGGACTTGCGTTAATGATGTAAATTAATTAGTATCGTGGATTCATTTTGACCAATTTCTCACTTCAAACAGAGGCTTCTGCTGCCTTCAATGAGCTCCCACCTCTACACAAACACAGTGAGCCGGTGCTGCGAATTCAAACCTGATTTGGGGAGTTCACCCAGCCCATCATCTCCTCCTCCTCCTCCTCCAGGGCCAATAAAATTAGTATCACCTTGGTGGCGAAGTCAACAGCTGTTGCCACCTTGCCATAGTAATGAGGAATTTCCACCGCAGGCTCTGCAGGGCTGTAAACGGGAGGGCGAGCCACCAATGGCTCGATGTTCACTCGAGGAGGCAACCGCAGCGGCGGCGGACAGCGATCGGCACGAGCGGCGACGCGAGGCGCTAAACGGAGGCAGCCCTCGGTCAGCGTTTTAATTACGTCGGCACGCCAGGGGACTTCTTTCAGACTCGTGCGGGCAGGGCGCGATAAATGATGACGACGATTATTATTATTATTATCAGTGAGGTCTCCTTCAGCCGCCACTGGGGTTACCTTAGTGCCCCCCCACCGGGGTTACCTTAGTGCCCCCCACCGGGGTTACCTTAGTGCCCCCCACCGGGGTTACCTTAGTGCCCCCCACCGGGGTTACCTTAGTGCCCCCCACCGGGGTTACCTTAGTGCCCCCCCACCGGGGTTACCTTAGTGCCCCCCACCGGGGTTACCTTAGTGCCCCCCCACCGGGGTTACCTTAGTGCCCCCCACCGGGGTTACCTTAGTGCCCCCCCACCGGGGTTACCTTAGTGCCCCCCACCGGGGTTACTTTAGTGCCCCCCCACTGGGGTTACCTTAGTGCCCCCCACCGGGGTTACCTTAGTGCCCCCCTACCGGGGTTACCTTAGTGCCCCCCTACCGGGGTTACCTTAGTGCCCCCCACCGGGGTTACCTTAGTGCCCCCCACCGGGGTTACCTTAGTGCCCCCCACCGGGGTTACCTTAGTGCCCCCCCACCGGGGTTACCTTAGTGCCCCCCACCGGGGTTACCTTAGTGCCCCCCCACCGGGGTTACCTTAGTGCCCCCCACCGGGGTTACCTTAGTGCCCCCCCACCGGGGTTACCTTAGTGCCCCCCACTGGGGTTGCCGTAGCGCCCCCCCCCCCCCACCCACCGGGGTTGCCGTGACGCCCCCCGCGAGGGTTGCCGTAGCGATGTTCGTTCTCACCTGGGAGCCGTGGTCCACCGCCAGCGTCTGCAGGGCCCAGGGGAAGCCGAGGCCCACGAGAATGTCGAAGACGTTGCTCCCGATGGAGTTCGAAACAGCCATGTCACCCAGCCCTGTTGGTGGTGGCAGCAGGGATAAGGGGGGGGACGGGGGGGGGAAGGAAGGGCAGCGGAGGAGTCCGGTGCTGGGACACACACGCCAACCCGCCACCACCACAGCGACTCAACAAAGACAAAGATTCCCCGTATATCCTGAGCAGATTGTAGGGGCAAGTGCTGTTAGCGAGCACCTTTGAAGGCTGGAACGGTACACGAGGGGGTGGAGGGGGTGGGTGGCCAGCACCACGCCCGACCGCCTTTGTCTCCCGAGTGGCGATGTTTACACACTGCACCAGGTACTCATGTGAGGCTGAGTCGACCTAGGAGATGCCCGGGACCGGTTCAAATAATTCTCACCGGTGTTGGCCATGAGCGGGAATCGAACTCGGGTCGATGAGTTCACAGCGCAGCGCGCTAACCGCGACACCACCGCTCCCCACAGCGACACACACGCACACACACGCGCACACACGACGCGCACACACGCACGCACGCGCGGTATTAAAACGCCATTCCGAATGCCGGCAGATAATCCATACTAACTGGAGCACATGTGGCGCTTCTCATCATAGGTGGCACCTTTGGCAGCAACTACACATTACCAGCCCCTGCCCCCCCCCCCCCCCTTCTCCCTCGTGCCCCCCTCCCTCAGCACCCGCCCCGGAGCGATCCGGGGGAGGAGAGCGGCGTTCACACAAAATGCTGCGACGAGCAGTTTTGAGATCAGAATTCATTTCGGTGCAACGAGGCTTGGATTTATGCGGCGTGTAAAATGCGGCCGCATCTCCTGAGGTTGCACGGAAGCAGTTGGGGGGGGGGTGGGGTGGGGGTTGGTTATTGTATAGAGAGAAAGACAGAGAGATACAGAGAGGCAGAAGAAAACGGCTGGTGTTGAGCTCACACACGTACATCTGCGGGGGGAGTCGACAGCACGGATGGCAGAGGGAAATGAGTTCCAGACGATGGGGAGTGTGGAGGAGAAAGAGCGACTTCTCACTGAGTGAAGGGAGAGTGCGTGGAGTGGGGTGAGATGGGAGGGGAGAGGCAGGAGAGAGCGTGGAGGGGAGTGGAGTGAGATGAGAGGGGTGAGGTAGGAGATAGCGTGGAGGGGAGTAGAGTGAGATGAGAGGGGAGAGGTAGGAGAGTGCGTGGAGGGGAGTAGAGTGAGATGAGAGGGGAGAGGTAGGAGCGTGTTTGGAGGGGAGTGGAGTGAGATGAGAGGGGAGAGGTAGGAGAGTGCGTGGAGGGGAGTAGAGTGAGATGAGAGGGGAGAGGTAGGAGAGGGGGTGGAGGGGAGTAGAGTGAGATGAGAGGGGTGAGGCAGGAGGGAGTTCAGAGGGTCTAGAGGACGGTGAGCACGATCTTGACATTGTTTTGAGTTTCCCACGGTGCTGGTGATTGTGCAGCGTGACGCGCCAGTTGCTGTCACTCGCCTCTGCTGCAGCTCCCTGCTGGGGGAGGGGCGGGGCCTGGTGGGGGAGGGGCCTGGTGAGGGAGGGGAGGGGCCAGTTGGGGGAGTGGGGGCTTGCACGCCGCTTGTGAAATTCTGTTCGCTGTACGTTCCGTGACCGTCCTCCCAACGGTTTTCATTTGCACGATGGCTCAGGACAAGATCTCCGCAATCCCTCTGCCGGGATTAGGGATTTATTATCGCGCTGGAAACCCACCTCGTACCACGCCAGCTCTCATCACCCTCCGCTTACTGTCGCAGAAAATGTAATATCTACGCCTCACGTGACCGTGCTTTTGTAATGTCGTCCTTTTTTATATATATAATCACAATCAAGCTCTATTTTAAACAGCCGCATCGTTTCAAATAGCCGGTGCCGCTTGCAACTCGTGCTGCGATAAATAAGGGTTTAGATGACTCGCGCCATCGCCATCATCGGCATCGTCGCCAGCGTTTCCATGATAATCGTCCGACATATCGTGTGCATTTCTCGCGATGATCACTGTTGGCGATCGATGACTCGATACGATGGCGGTGACAGTGACGACGGACAGTTGATCACGTTCCACACGAGGAGGCGGAGCGACGAAATCGGCTCGCTCGTGTCCACGGGGTGCCGGGGGCGGATTGTCACGACGCTGGTTAGCAGAGGTGACCGTGGCTTGGGGCGGGCCTTCATCAGGCAGTGGATTGACCGTGGCTGGTGAGGCCCACCGAGCCTATATAGCTGTTTTTCAGAAGCAACCCGGCCACAAATAATAGCTCGAAAAAGTGGCTTATCACGTGGACATTTATAGCAGCAGCCAAATACTCTAAACGCACGTAGATTCTAAATGTGGAGGGAAAAACTGGAGCACCCGGAGAAAAATCCACGTGACCACGGGGAGAGAGAGAGACATGCAAACTCCAAATATACAGGCGTCAGGGGTTGGGATCGCACCCACAACCTCCTGTATACCGGGCGAGGTAGTTAACATCTCGCCACTGCGGCACCCCATTAACGACGCCGCGAGTTCACACTCCTGCCGAGCAACAACAACAACAACAACAACGCTCACCCTGCCTGGCCACGATGAGGCTGGCCATGCAGTCCGGCACGCTCGTCCCGGCCGCCAGGAAGGTGATGCCCATGATGACGTCGGGAATGCCCAGCGTGTATCCGATAATGGTGACCTTCGGTCCACGGATGGAGAGATGGAGGAGGAGACAGACAGAGAACAGAAACCACCGCCCAGATATCAACAAATAAGCAACCATGAAAGTCACGGCGTTGTCAGAGAGGGGCGAGACGCGCCTCGTTCCACCGCGCGGCAACGCGACGCCTTCCGCTCGTGAATTGAACGGGGACCGCGTCGCGCTCCCTCGCGTCCCCCGGCTGAGCCTCGCCGCAGCAAGCAGCCCCTGTCGGAGGTTCCCAACTTCGTGTACTGGAGGTCAGCAGCGCGAGATGCACTTGCCCCCCCCCCCCCACCTCTCCCCCACCACTCCCCCCCTCCCCCCACCACGGGACAGGCGCGGTGTGATAACACCCACCACCCAAGACAAAGATCCCCACCCCCCGTGTAGCCTTAGCGGAGTGCTGTCCGCGAGCTGCATAAGCTTCAAGCGAACGTCGGGGACACTTGTAGAAAAATAAAAAAAAACATCCCACACCACGCAAGCGGAATCCAAGGAGGCGGCTCAAGCATCACGCGATGTTTGGCAAAAGACGACTTCCCCACCCCCGGGATCGTCTCTCATTCAAACCCTGCCGTGGGTGAGCAGTGGGCACGCCGCGGTCAACGCCCTCCTGTCCCGTTAGCCGCGATGGTCGTCGGGCCGAGTGCTATCGGCGAGCACCCGCGAAGAAGCGGCGGCCCACGGCCACGCGCGGGGGCCGCCGCGCTTCCCGGGACGCCGCTGGCGGCCCGCATGCGCCGCTGGCGTTTGCCGTCGACTCACCATCCACACCATGACGTAGGAGAAGATCGCGATCCAGAGCGTGGACAGGATGAAGGTGGCCATGAACCAGCTCTCCCAGCGCGGCTGGGCCACGTTGGGCACCGTCAGGTAGAGCAGCAGCGCCAGCGGCCACGACACCAGCCACTTGAAGCGGGCGAGGTGGCCGTCTGCACGCGACGGCGTGGGGGGGGTGGGGGGGGGGAACGGCGCCCCGTCAAGCGGCACAGCGATGGCGTTTCGAATAGCGCGCGGAACAGCGCACAAGACAGTGCATGGAACAGCGCACGCAACAGCGCACGCAACAGCGCACGGAACAGCACACGCAACAGCGCACGGAACAGCACACGCAACAGCGCAAGGAACACACGGAAGAGTGTGTGGAACAACGTGTCAAACAGTGTATTGAACAGCGCATGGAACAACAGCGCATCGAAAATCGCGTTGAACAGCATGTCGAACGACGCACGGAACGGCACATCGAACAGTGCATCGAACAGCCAATTCAAAACAACAACAACAACACGCACTCAATGAAACCACTTGCTCCCGAGCTGGGCGATTGCGTGGCTTATGCAGACGAGGATGCTGCCGTGGTGCGGTGCTTCGCACAGTGGACTTTGCAATCGACAATTCGCCGGTTGGATCTCCCGGCGTGGCAGTGGAGACAATGGGGCATGATTCTTAAACATTGCGCCCGCCCCTTCCACCACCCTCCCCCCCCCCTTCTGCCCACCCAGCAGTCGAAATGGTTGCACCGCTGAGCCGATCAGCAGGTCGCGTGTGGTGGGGTCAAGTGTGGAAGAGTAGGCCAAATACCCTCCCTGGAGGGGCTTTCTAGAGCCCCCTCTAGCGGAGACCCGTTCTGCAGGCCGCAGCTCCACGCCTTCACCAACACCGCACTCGGCAGCCTGGCTAAGTGCGGCTAAATTGCGCGCTCATCTTGCGTACGACGGCAGATACGTTCAGGAGCTCAACGCCAACGTCGAGGTTTGCTGGCCACGACGAGAGGGCTTCAAGGGAGCTGACGGCTTCCTGAGACGCGTTCCAGCCAGCCGCCCCGTACGGCACGGGAAGGCCGTCCAATCCAGCAGCGGGTTGACCGCGGGGCGGCGGAGAGCGAGCGCCGTACAACCGGAGCGCGACAACGCGGTCACCGCAGACACTCGTCCCGCGTCAGAGATGACATCGCCGTTGGTGTCGGCGGCCGTTTGGGAAACAGGAGAGTATATATTTTTTTTTTTAGCCGGTAATGGTTTCGTTTAAATGAGGCCATCGCCACGTCGTTTGTCGGTGCCGGGGGCAATTGGCCGTCATGCCCCCCGAGTTGCGTAGTTTTCCCAGGAAGGCGGGGGGGGGGGGGGGGGTGGAGTGGGGTGGTGGTGGGGGGGGGGGGCATCTGGGGAGAAACGAAGCCAGCGGAGTGGAACGCGCGTCGAGTCTACAAGGAGCCGTGCGCTGGCGGGCGAGATACGAGCGCCGAACGGAGACTCGACGGCGGCCCCCTCTTCCGCGAACCGCCGTGATTAATGGGCCCCCAAACACCCCTCCCCACCCCGCCCAGCCGCCCCCCCCCCCCCCCCCCCATTCAGCGACGGGCGATGTGCCCGCCGCACGTTCACGCTCGCGTAGGAGAGACGACGTGCGAGAGGACAGCCCGGCGTTCCGCTTGCTCGTCACGGACAGCTTGCGCCAAGGCAACTGGTCCATTCCTCGTTGCTGATGTCCTTGGGAGGATTATCAAAAGTCTACGCGGTCGTGCAGAAAAGTAAATATAATATATATTTCGCTAAAGTTCACCAGCGCATGCCGGTTGGAGGTCAAAGGCGCAGACCCTGCAATTGCTCGCTCACGTCACTGCTGGCAGAAGGGCCTCCGCCAGAGGGGGCTCTAGAGGGAATTTGGCCTACTCTTCCATGCTGGCTAGACGTCTTGGAAGAGAATGCGGAGTACCCAAACTTTACACCACCACACGCGACCCGCAGGTGAAGTAACTGTGGAGAACAAATCTTCCGCCGGGTGGACAGAGGCCTTGGGCGCGGTGGGGCGAGGGGGGAATTGAACCGGTGCAGCAGTAGCAAACTTTATGAAACAACATGTTGGATGTTGTTTCCTAGAGTGTAGAAGCATCGATAGCTGGCTCTACGTAACGATGGTTCGAAAGCTCTCGCTTTGAAACGAGTTAGCGAACCTCAAAGGGCTTACAACTGGACTTTGGATTGGAATGGATTTCATGATTTTATTATTTTACGCAATAATTTAATTCGCATTGACGTCGAGTGGACATGGAATTTAAACCAAAGAGCGCTTTGCTTTACCAAATTTTGGGGGAAATTGCATGCCAGCTGTCTCTAGTTAAGCTGCAAATTAATGACATTTAGGACAATTTTCGTTCAGTGGCTGCCAACTCGGACACCACAGCGGCTGAGATCTGTAAACGCAGTGTTGTGGCACCCCTCTATATATACACACATAATCGACGTAATGTTTCAAGATACGATATCGGTTTTCAGAGGTCCATGGTGTGTTTGTAATCGCACCTCGTGTGTGCGTGTGTGTTCGCGTCTTTGTGTATTGCACTGCGGTTTTTGTGCTTTCCTGCACCTCCACCATACAAGTAGAGATTCACTGAGAGCAAAGATTCACTGAGAGCAGAGATTCACTGAGAGCAGATATTCACTGAGAGCAGAGATTCACTCAGAGCAGAGATTCACTCAGAGCAGAGATTCAATCAGAGCAGAGATTCACTGAGAGCAGAGATTCACTGAGAGCAGAGATTCACTCAGAGCAGAGATTCACTCAGAGCAGAGATTCACTCAGAGCAGAGGTTGACTCAAACGCTCAACTGACACTCGCCCCTCATGGCAACTGTAACAACCTACAACGGCCACAGCTGCACATGCTGTGTGCCACACGATAATTAACATATTAATTAGTAGCCATAATTATTATCGCCCACTCATCTTGCCGAGACGAGACGACAGACGTTTTCATCGGCAGCGCGAATTGGAGGCCCCCCTTGCCCCCCATGGCCCCCCCTGTCCCCCCACTAAGAGCACCGCTGAGTCCAGACCAGGGGGCCCGCTAGACGACGGAGTGGGTGGTGGTGGTTGTGGTGATGGTTGTGGTGGTGGTTGTGGTTGTGGTGATGGTTGTGGTGATGGTTGTGGTTGTGGTGGTTGTGGTGTTCACGTTGGCCCCAGGTGTAGGAGGGAGGTTGGCCACATAGAGACCCTGGCCGCTACGGAACCACTGTTGATGACCTGCGATAGTCTACACATGACCTTCTAGAATAGTCTATACATGACCCTTTACAAGAGCCTATATATGACCTTCAATGGACTACATATTACCTTCAACAAAAGTCTACATATGACCTTCTACAATAGTCTACACATGACCTTAAAATTAGTCTATGAATGACCTTCAACAATAGTCTACATATGACCTTCAACAATAGTATCCACATGACCTTCTGCAAGTCTAAATATAACCTTCCACAATGGAACGCATGGCCTTCTACAATAATCTTTACATGACCTCCTATAACAGTCTATAGTGACCTTCTACAATAGTCTTTACATGACCTTCTACAATAGTTTGTATATGACCTTCAACAATAGTGTACACATGATCTTCTATATATGACCTTCCACAATAGACTATGTATGACCTTCAAGCAATAGTCTATACATGACCTTCTACAATAGCCTAGGCCTGCTTTAAGTTGCCTAATGGATAATACGACGTTGGACACGTTTATTCAGAACTATTCACGATTGCGTCTGCTTTTCGACACCGTGGCATCACCGTATCATGGTGACCCTGCATTCAGCTTCGCCAGCACAGCTGCTGCCTGCTGGAGAAGAAACGGGCGATGGACATCATCGGGGGAAGGTGTTGCTCAGACGTCCCTGTCCAGTTGGGATAATTCCCCCCCCCTCTCAATTTTTTTTTCGCAAAGAAAAAAAGAAATCAGACGGACCTGGGAACGCATGCAGCAACGGGGCCTCTGATGATGATCACGGGACGTTGCGTTCACATTGAACGTCCCGTTCACATTGAACGTCCCGTTCACATTGAACGTCCCGTTCACATTGAACGTCCCGTTCACATTGAACGTCCCGTTCACATTGAACGTCCCGTTCACATTGAACGTCCCGTTCACATTGAACGTCCCGTTCACATTGAACGTGCCGTCCCCTTAATTGGCGTGCTTCTTCTCAAAAGCAGTCTTTCTCTCCGCTGCACGTGAAGCAAGCGCCACGCCGCAGGTCCCAATTTAGCCACCGCCTCTTTCCCTCCCCCCCGCCCCCCCGCCCCCCCCCCCCCCCACCTCCCCCGGCCTTCAAACAAAGCTCGAGGACTAAGTTAATTTTTGCAAACCACTTCCGGCGGCGTTGATCCGGCCGACGGTGGCTCAGCGGCAGAGCGAGCGGCTCGCCATCGGAAGGCCGTGGAGTTCAAATCCCGGTTGGTGTTGTTGACTATAAAGCTAGTACCCATTTGTGGAGGGGGAAGCCAACAGTGGTCGTCTTTCGGATAAACTCGCCCCCCCACCGCCCCCCTTCCCGCCCCCTCCCGTCAGAGGAACACGGAATTTCCACCGCTGGCTCAGGAGTTGGAGGCAGCAGATGAGCGCGCACTGCCTTATAATGCTCATCTGAGCGAGGGATGTTATTCTGACTTGACATATCGTTGATGGAGCCACCGGCGCTGCTCACGCAGAGCAGCAAATCTCTTCGGCATTGTTTTTTTTATGCAAAGCGAAACAGCTTCATTGAATTAACCTGCTCTCGTGCTACACACGGTCGCTGAACGCAGGTTTTCTGGCTGGAGCGCAATGCTTGCAATATATTAGGGAATATAAAACGCATGAATAATTAATGAGAAACAGCCAATTATTACATTTCCCTGTCAATTAAAGCACTGCATGGTTCCCGACATCCACGCTTAATTGGAAAGCTCGTTCCTTGTCCGGCTACGCGTACAAATGTGGTTTCGCTAGTGGATGGGTGGAAGACATTTATTGTGAAAGATTAGCCTCACCCTCCTGCTTCTAAGCCACGAGTTCCATTACTGCTCACATTCTGTCTCTCCACATCATTCTACTCTCTGCCTTTTCTCGAGTCACATCCACCGTCCGTACATCGAGATGCACAGACTCACATCGAGATGCACAGACTCACATCGAGATGCACAGACCCACATCGAGATGCACAGACCCACATCGAGATGCACAGACTCACATCGAGATGCAGACTCATATAGAGATCCACAGACTCATATTAGAGATCCACAGACTTAAACCACACGGCCAAAACCGCGGTTGCAAACATCTCTGTCACACCGCGTCGCGATGCAACGCGTCACACCGCGTCACTCCGCGTCACCGCACCGCGTCACACCGCACCATCGCATCCCTCACCGGGCACGACGCATGGCGAGGACACTCCCTCGTCATCCTCCTCCTCCTCCTCGCAGCCCGCGCCCTCCTTCCCCGCACCCTCCTTCCCCGCGCCCTCCTTCCCCGCGCCCTCCTTCCCCGCGCCATCCTTCGACCGCCCGTCGTTGGCCACGGCCGCGACCGCCACCTCCGCCGCGGCCACCGCTCCCCCCGGCGAGACGGCGCCGTTCTCCGCGTCGCCGCCGCTGTTCGCGGCCGCGGTGGTGGCGCCCGCCGCGGCATCGCCGCCGCACGCGTTGGCGCCCGAGCGGTACTTGCGCTGGATCTTGTGGGCGACCTCGCACTCGCTGCAGGCGACTCCGCGCCCGCGCAGCAGCCGCTGCCTCTGCTCGGTCGGGGGGTGGGGGGGGGGGGGGGGGGGGGGGACACGAGCGCGGCACTCAGGGCGTACCGCAGGCGCGTCGTGTCGTCGCACGGACGGACGCACGCGAGCAGAGGCGTCACCGACAGCTGTGGACTTCTGGACATGGGGACAGCACCGTAGGAGTATCACCCACCGCCGATGGATGCATGGGTGTATGTTGAACTTCTTTTGCGCCGTACGTAGCCAGCTGCGCTCTTTCCTTCCGATATTAGGAAGCCACTGGAGCTGTGCACTTTAAAATCATCTAAATTGACAAACTAATTTCTTCAGAACTGCTTTTGTTGTTGTTGTGTTATCCTTCTCCCGCACCGTCAATTAGCACGGTTGCCTGCGTATGGTGCGAAATAAGTTCAACATACACACGCACGGTTGCAGCTCTTATTCGTGACAAAAAAGACAAAGATCCCCCGTGTAGCCTTGGCAGACTTTTTGGGGCAAGTGCTGTTTTGCGAGGAGCACCTATGGAGGCCGGCACCACGTGGGTGGCCAGGGCCACGCCTGGCTGGCCGCTACCAGTTCAGATAATCGTCACGGGTGTTGGTGGCTGCGCGCAGGAATCAAATTCGGGTCGCCGGGTTCGTAGCGCGGCACGCGGACCGCTACGCGACCGCTCCCCGCACACGCACACCCACACACTCAAAATCACCACTAAAATAGAGGCATTACATCTGCACATGATGGCAAAAGCGGGTTTGTAAAAAGACCAGAATGCTAATTGACGTCTGAATCGAAGACGAATGCCAGCAACAGCTGTGGAGGCGACAATGCCCCCCCCTTTGTGTGCCGGATGGAGGAGTGGGGAAGCGGACGGCAGCCCCCTCGATGGGGGAGGGGGGGTTGGGTTGGGGGGATACGAACCCCCCCCCACCCCCACACCCCCACACAGTCTAAATTATTATAACGCGCAGTAGCAGGCTTTCGCAACCAATATCATCCATAAGAGGTTTTTTGGGTTAGATCGCGTGAATATATAAATGTGTCGTTAAACCCGCCACCACCCGACACAGCCAACTAGTAAGGGTTGTCATTTAAACAGAACGTGGCCAATTCGTCACTAGTACAGCACACCGGTGTGTTGGAGAGCCAAGCCACAACATTTATAATCTGAGTACGACGTTTCGCCAGTAATTACAACTAGCTTCATCAGGCGACAGCCAGATTTGTGGAGAAGCCCACCTGTTGATTTCCTTATATAGAGGAGGCGTAGATGTGGTGACCATGCTTGTGCACTCTCCAACACACCGGTGTGCTGTACTAATGACGAATTGGCCACGTTCTGTTTACGTGACAACCCTTACTAGTTGGCTGTGTCGGGTGGTGGCGGGTTTAACGACACATTTATTTATTTACGCGATCTAACCCAAAAAAAATCTCTATTATGGATAAATAGTTATAGTCCGGTCAACACAAGTTGGGCCCAACGTTTAACGCCACGTTCGGGTTTTATTCAAACTTTGCCCAGTTCGGTAGACACCCATCACCATATCCAGCCTCATACACACACGCCGGGCATGTGTGTGTGGGTATATACGTCTCTATATATATACACACCCCCTGTGTGTGGATATACCTCTACACACACACACACGAGGAGAATGCACGACATACAAAAACAGATAGCATCGTTGCTTGATCTGTTCAGCGTTTAACGTTGGTTTAGTGTTTGTCTCTGACTTGCCCCCATCCTGTGTTTGTCTGCACTACAGGGTTGGTGGATAGAGTGGGCGAGCGGGAGGGAGGAGTGGGATAGTGGATGGAGGAGTGGGCTAGTGGATGGAGGATTAGGCTAGGGGATGGACTAGCAGGATGGAGGAATGGGCTAGTGGATGGAGGAGTGGGATAGTGGATGGAGGTGTGGGCTAGTGGATGGACTAGCAGGATGGAGGATTAGGCTAGTGGATGGAGAAATGGGCTAGTGGAAGAAGGAGTGGGCTAGTGGATGGACTAGCAGGATGGAGGATTAGGCAAGTGGATGGAAGATTAGGCTAGTGGATGGAGGTTTAGGCTAGTGGATGGAGGAGTGGGCTAGTGGAAGAAGGAGTGGGCTAGTGGATGGACTAGCAGGATGGAGGAGTGGGCTGGTGGATGAAGGACTGGGCTGGTGGATGAAGGACTGGGATAGTGGATGGACTAGCAGGATGGATGAGTGGGCTAGTAGTATGGGGCTAGCGGGAATCAGGGAGCCGTCACCTCATTGATGAGCATGCGGCTGGCCATGCGGAGGCGCGTGCGCGGCCGGAAGTGGTTGGTGATCATGATGCGGAGCCCGGCCTCCGAGAAGTCCAGCTTGTGTGGACACACAGAGAGCAGCTCGTCCACCATGAGCACCGAGGTGCTGCGGCACATGTCCCCCACGTGGTTCGGGTTCACTGGGCCACGGCGATACCACGACACACACCACGACAGGAACACCGCACAGACACAACAAAACAACATAATTACATTTACATATTTACATTTGCTGCACTCTTAAATGTCCCGGCAACTCAAAGTGCCTTTATCTCATCCCAATTATTCTCGATGTAATTTTGGCCTAAGGGACCCCCTGATGGCAACTGTCCCTGCAACAACCCTTCAAGGTGAAGGCCTCAACAGAGCGCTCAACTCTTCCAACCGCAATGTGTTGAAGCTGCAAACCGAGACAAAACAAAGAGATAAATTCAACAACTGATTCCTCCCCGTAAGCCATAACCACGTGTGGTGCAAGAGTCGTTAGTGAGCGAACACCTAGGCTGGTACGGCCACACGAGAGGGGTGGAGTGGCCAGCTTGACACCCAGACGTCTCCTGTATTCCTATTACGGAGTTGACCTCGGAAAGGCCCAGGACTGGTTCGGATATCCACTACCGATTTCAGCTGTGAGTGGGAATCGAACTCAGGTCACCAGGTTTGGAACATGCTGCGCTAGACACTGCGCCACCACAGCCCAAAGACAAAGTCATGCATACACTCGCACGCACGCACGCACGCGTCTGTGTGCGTGCGTGTGTGCGTATGTGCGTGCGCGCGTACGTGCACACACACATACGGCACTCTCACGGGCTTCCCAAAACAGCCACCTGAGGTTGATAGATTAATCTTGGCATGGAAGCAATGAAAATGTATTTCCTTTGGCTGCTGTTGTCCTCCAATTAGAAATGCACAGGGACGTGACTCTGTTGACGTGACTTTGTTGACGGCACTGCCGTGCGATGCAACTCGCGGAACAAGGCCAGCGGTGCCCGTCGGGAGTTTTACCGCGGGTAACTTTCAAGCGACACTGCAACAAAGTTTCGGCGACCCCCGTGTGAACCCCGTCGACGCCGTGGCCGTGAACTCGTGGGAGCAGGGGCGCAAAGCGAGCACCACCCCCCTCAGGGAGTTGTTTCCAGTTGATTTTGATTCACGATGTGAGAACTCGAGGGACCAGGGTGAGAGTCTCATTTAGAGTCACCACGGTGGCTAGGAGATGTTAACTACACCTCGCCTGGTAGGCAGGAGGTCGTGGGTTCGATCCCCACCCCGACACCTGCTGTATATTTGGAGTTTGCACGTCCCTCTCTCCCCATGGTCACATGGATTTCTCTTCGGTTTTTCCCTTCTACATTTTAAATCAACACACGTTTAAAGGATTTAGCCGATATACATTTCCACGTGATAAGCCACTTCGTTGAACTGCCATTTGCAGCCAGGTCGCTTCTGAAAAAGAGCTACATAGCTCAGTGGGGCCTTACCTGGTAAAATATATTTTTTAATAGTTTCACAGTTTAAGTAGTTTATATCGTATCATCGTATCCGTGACAATCGACGCCGCAGGAACCCTCTTGGAGTTTACCGTCCTCCATCTCGTTGCTGTTGGCCACCCCGTTGGCTGTGTTCCTGCCGCCCTTATGGAGCCGTGCAAAGAAGGCCTGGAGGCGCATGCTGAACCTGGTGGGCGGCGTCGCACACAACCGGGGGGGGGGGGGGGGAAGGGGGGCACGTGTGTGGGGGGGTCAGATCCGACCGTAAATGAAAACCCTCGTGCGCCCACTTGGCCGAGCCGTGTCAGACTCGGCGACAATCCCAGCGGCGCTGGTTGCACTTCCCGCGCGCGCGCGGAGTTACACGCGTGAAATATCGCTGGCAAAAGGTATTTTATATTTGAACGTGCACAACGCCCCGGACGGTGAGATTACGTGATAGGAGGGGGATATACGCAAGGGCGTACGCGCACTCACTTCATCAAAACGATGTACATCACGTACATCGTCACGAGAATCACGGCCTCCCACCTGGGAAGAAACAAAGTAATAATTAATTTTTGTATTAAAAAAATATGATCATGCCACTCTTTCCTTAAATATAAATTATTTAAAAAGATTACATTCATGTTTAACGCTCATCGATTACACCTTCAATTTATGCTATTTATTGCTGGCTGCTTGGCTTTTTTTGGGCCTTTGCTCAACAAACCTGATTTTCATTACAATAACAAATTAATATCATTATTTCAAAATTAAACAACCGTCCATACCGATATCGCGTTGCAATACGCAACCACCACGAGTGGTTTCCAATCCTGGCGGACATTCGTGATGTTATCGCGAGACTAACGAAAAGCGTGCCGCTCATCGGCTTGGCTCCGCTTCGACACGGAGGCACCGCTGCTTCGCAGCTCGCGTCTTGCCGAATCGTCACGGTTCTCCTTCGTAGTTTCAGAGTTTCATGAATGCTGTTTGCAACGCAGGAAAGCCTCGGCATGTGTGTGTGTGTGCGCGCGAGTGCGTTGCGCGTTTTCTCGTCTTGGTGCTCGCCACCCACCCCCTCCGTGTGCCACAGTGCCGGCCTTCGTAGGTGCTACTCGCTAACACCATTCGTCTGGACAGTCTGTGAAGGCTGCACGGGGGTGGGGGCGGGATGGTGATCTTTGTCTTTGTTTTGCCCGTGACTAATTTAATAATCGTTATAGGAGCCCCAGACAAAAAAAAAAACGCGCGTGCAAAGTCACCATGGAAATGGCAGGAAAGTTGCATTGAACGCATCGCTGATCGGGGGTGCATTGAACGCATCGCTGATCGGGGGTGCATTGCTACGCGCCGGCTTCACGCATAGCAAACCTCGACGACACGGACCCTCCGCGGGACTGTAAAAGAGCGAAGGCAATTTGTGGGAACGAGGATTGGTGTTTCATTTGTTACGTACCAGACGACCTTCTCGTCGTAAATGAACTGCAACGAAAGAACAAACAAAGCGATGTAGTGGATACGATGCGCGGGTAATCGCGGTCGTGTGTCGCATCAATGCAGAAAGAACGACAAAACACCGCTGGGCAAGCTTCTTTCGCGATAAAACGTTCACGTTGCGAAGGGAAAGCTTAAACAATCTCGGCACATACAATATGGGAAATGTTTTTTTTTTCCAGTATCGAAGTGATGACAAAAAAAGAGAATAGGCTTTAACCTTTCCGGAAATGTTTTGCCACAAGTTTGCGTGGTAAATGTACGTGTTTGCGGTACACCGGTCCAGAATAATACACCGGTCCTCAAGAAAGAGTTTGAAATCAAAACTTTAATCAGCAAATCTGTTTATCAGCCTTTAACTGACCCTGTCACCAAGTCTGACGTGATTCGAAGCTTTATTCAGTCCTATGAGACTTACGGCAAGTAGAGAGTTGGGATTGTTATGGTCAGGTTAGGGTTACGTAATGGCAACAATAAATGAGGTCAAAAATATGAATTTCTCGTGAACAACCAAAGACTATTTAAGGACAAGATTTTCCAATGTAGGCAGCATTTGTCATGAAAGGTCCGTGCTCGTATTTCTCTAACCCTAATCTAGTCTTAACCGCCCGACCAAGTCTGGGGCACGAGAAGTGACATCCGTGTAGGGCATGAGTCAGAAAACGGAGCAGCCAATCGTCATCAGCATGGGTGCCGCTATACTGTAACAGAATGTGAAGCTTCTGCGCGTTCAGCCCCTCCGTAAACATTCGTCCTCCGACTGAGTCGACATCACAAGAACCGATTTTGACGCACTAACAACCCCGCAAGATTTTCTGACTGGGGATTGCGAATCGCAGGGGAAATAAATACAATAAATAATTATTGTGAAAAAAGCGCTTTCCTTATACCGCGCTCTGCCTGTGTACCGCCAATACGTTCAAATGCAGATTCCATGCCTTGCAATAAGTATCGATTTGGTGTTTGAACATCTTAACACCTGTTTTATTTGCCAGCACATGCAAACACAATATTTCCTCCGATGAAAATGTAATTTTTTTACAGAAACACACACACACACGGAGCGCACCGTTGGCAACCTATACAATTTTAATGGACGTACCGTGACCGCGCATTTTGTTTGGGATGGAACGATAGCAAAAATCGGACTGCGAGCTACGTTACGAAAAAATATATATAATATACAAACCCCACTGGCGGTCAGTTTGCAAGGACCCCCCCCAAACCCCGAGACAGGACAGAGAGAACAGACAAGAACAGAGAGGACAGACGAGAACAGAGAGGTCAGACGAGAACAAAGAGGTCAGACGAGAACAGAGAGGTCAGACGAGAACAGAGAGGACAGACGAGAACAGAGAGGACAGACGAGAACAGAGAGGTCAGACGAGAACAAAGAGGTCAGACGAGAACAAAGAGGTCAGACGAGAACAGAGAGGTCAGACGAGAACAGAGAGGACAGATGAGAACAGAGAGGACAGACGAGAACAGAGCGGTCAGACGAAAAGAGAGAGGTCAGACGAGAACAAAGAGGTCAGAAGAGAAGAGAGAGGTCAGACAAGAACAGAGAGGTCAGACGAGAACAGAGAGGTCAGACGAGAACAGAGAGGTCAGACGAAAACAGAGAGGTCAGACGAGAACAGAGAGGACAGAGGAGAACAGAGAGGTCAGACGAGAACAGAGAGGACAGACGAGAACAGACAGGTCAGACGAGAACAGAGAGGTCAGACGAGAACAGAGAGGACAGACGAGAACAGAGAGGTCAGACGAGAACTGAGAGGACAGACGAGAACAGAGAGGTCAGACGAGAACAGAGAGGTCAGACGAGAACAGAGAGGTCAGACGAGAACAGAGAGGTCGGACGAAAACAGAGAGGTCAGACGAGAACAGAGAGGGCAGACGAGAACAGAGAGGTCAGACGAGAACAGAGAGGTCAGACGAGAACAAAGGGGTCAGAAGAGAAGAGAGAGGTCAGACGAGAACAGAGAGGACAGACGAGAACAGACAGGTCAGACGAGAACAGAGAGGTCAGAAGAAAAGAGAGAGGTCAGACGAGAACAGAGAGGACAGACGAAAACAGAGAGGTCAGACGAGAACAGAGAGGTCAGACGAGAACAGAGAGGACAGACGAGAACAGAGAGGTCAGACGAGAACAGAGAGGTCAGACGAGAACAGAGAGGTCAGACGAGAACAGAGAGGACAGACGAGAACAGAGAGGTCAGACGAGAACAGAGAGGTCAGACGAGAACAGAGAGGACAGACGAGAACAGAGAGGTCAGACGAGAACAGAGAGGACAGACGAGAACAGAGAGGTCAGACGAGAACAGAGAGGTCAGAAGAAAACAGAGAGGTCAGACGAGAACAGAGAGGACAGACGAGAACAGAGAGGTCAGACGAGAACAGAGAGGTCAGACGAGAACAGACAGGTCAGACGAGAACAGAGAGGTCAGAAGAAAAGAGAGAGGTCAGACGAGAACAGAGAGGACAGACGAGAACAGAGAGGTCAGACGAGAACAGAGAGGTCAGACGAGAACAGAGAGGTCAGACGAGAACAGAGAGGACAGACGAGAACAGAGAGGACAGACGAGAACAGAGAGGTCAGACGAGAACAGAGAGGTCAGACGAGAACAGAGAGGTCAGACGAGAACAGAGAGGTCAGACGAGAACAGAGAGGACAGACGAGAACAGAGAGGTCAGACGAGAACAGAGAGGTCAGACGAGAACAGAGAGGTCAGACGAGAACAGAGAGGACAGACGAGAACAGAGGTCAGACGAGAACAGAGAGGACAGACGAGAACAGAGAGGTCAGACGAGAACAGAGAGGTCAGAAGAAAACAGAGAGGTCAGACGAGAACAGAGAGGACAGACGAGAACAGAGAGGTCAGACGAGAACAGAGAGGTCAGACGAGAACAGAGAGGTCAGACGAGAACAGAGAGGTCAGACGAGAACAGAGAGGTCAGACGAGAACAATGAAGCGCTTTCTCAGACTCCACGAACACAAAACATCGCAAAATTCGCCGTCGAAGCGAAACATTGGAGCCATCATTTTTTTTGCTGGCGAGAGGGGGGGGGGGGGGGGGGGGGGGGATGGGGGACCCCCTCCGCGTGGATGTCCCGATGATGCTCGGTGGAAAAGCAACAACAGCGAAACGTAACGGTACTCAAATTGTAAAATGATTTTACTCTCCAACACACCGGTGGGCTGAAGTCGCAACTAATTGGTACATTTTGTTTACGTGACAAACCTTTCTACCTTGGCTGTGTCGGCTGTTGGTGGGTTGACGACACCTTTATATTTACGTGATCTAACCCCAAAAAAACGTTATGATTTCTGATCGCATTTACTGACAGCGAAGCCCCTCCCCCCTCCACCCACACGCCCACCCGCTCCCCCTCCTTCCCCCTCCACCCCCCAAAGAAAATCCTCCCATCGCCGATGCAATCGCAAAAGTAAATTTTTTGTTTCAAAATTCTGACGAAGAGCCCAGCGGCAGTACAGGGCGCAAGGAAATACAACAACGGAGTGGGTGCACAGAAATTCCCGTGGGCCGAAGCCCGACACACGCAGTGCTCACACGGGGTCGTCGGTGGGACCAGGGAGAGACACGGGCTCGCCACCACTCCACTCGCGCAGGGACTGCGAGCGGGAGCACCGACTTGCTCACAAGGGGAAGGGAAGGCGAGGGGGAATGGAGCAGAGGTAAGGGGAAGAGGGGAAGAAGGGTGGGCGGGTGGATGGGAGGAAGGTGTGACCAAAGTACATTCTTAATAATGCTGGGAGCAGGGACAGCACTCCCTGCTTGCTTGGGCAATGTGGCCCGTGCATTGAATGCACGAGAGGCACAATGAAAGGGGGGGAGGGAGGGAGGGAGGAGTGGGGGGGGCGCGAGAGTTTTTTTTGGGGGGGGGGGGGAGCAGTCCTCTCGAGCGAGCGAGCGACCGTTAAGGATAATTATGGCGTAATGAACGCGGGGAGTTCGCTGCGCTGCCGAGCACCGAGCGCAATGCGTTGGTTCCATTAGCGCCGGCTCGTCAGCGGGTGTGAGCACAGAATACACGCACACACAGACACAAAGACACCGGATCCCCCGTGTAGCCTTTAACAGATTGTTGGAGCAAGTGCTGTTAGGGAGCACCTATGAAGGCCAGAATGGCACACGAAGGGGAATGGGTGGGTTGCCAGCACCACGAGTGGCGATGTTTTTATGCAGCGCACCAGGTACTCAATTAAGCCCGAGTCGACCTAGGGGAGGCCCAGGTCCGGTTCAAGTAATCGTCACTGATGTTGGCCGCGAGCGGGAATCGAACCCGGGTTGCTGGGTTCGTAGTGCAGCGTAACGCCAACCGCTCACACTATCGCTCCCCACAAGACACAAAGATCATCCCCCCCCCAGCCCCCATAGCCTTAACAAAGACACACACACACAGACGCACTCACGGGGGCTGGATTCGCGGCGGCGGTGATAATTGGCAGTCTCTCGAAGCGGCTGCCCACTTTTCAAGATTGTGTTTTTTGTTTGATTCGTTTTGGGATCGTTAACGGAGCGTGCAGGAGAGGAGCGGATGCGCTCCCCCAACCCTGCACGACAGCTTCCCACTGTGTGCATCGCATGCGTGTTGAACTTCCTTCGCACCGTACGTAGTCGGCCGTGCTAATCGGCGGTGCGGGGGAAGGACAACAAACTAAATAAATGGGTTTTCGATCGAGATGATTTAAAAGTGCACAGCTCAAATGGCATCCTCATATCGGAGGGAAGAGCGTTCCAGACGGCTGCAGAAGCGCATGTGCCCTCATCTTTGACATTGTGTTCAAGGCTGGAGGAACTCAATGAGGGTGCCGTGGTGGCGAGATGTTAACTACCTCGCTTGGTATGCAGGAGGTCGTGGGCTCGATTCTGACCCTGACGCCTGCTGCTGTATTTTTGGAATTTGCGCGTTCTCCCCGTGATCGCGTGGATTTTACTTCAGGGTCCTCCGGTTTTTTCACCTC